ATTCAAATTTCTTAATGCGTGTTGGAAATTAAATTAGTTTTTTCTTCTTTCAGGCAGGGGTCGTAGTTGTTCTGATATTTCTGATTTTTCTGATAATAAATATTTTCTCCTTTGTCCTTATATTTAGCTTTATGTCGTGATATTCCTCATGTTTGTTTGTGAATTTTAAAATTAAGAATTTTAAAATTATTGATTTAAAGAATCAAAATATTTAGGCTTTTGATCCAAATATTTTAATTTAAAATGTTAGTAAAAATCACAAAATTTGATTGTTCGAACTTAGGGACCGTTCACTAATAATATATTTAGTTCAGAAATATAGCCTTACTCTCACGATTTATTTAGTCTAACTTTTTGGAACTTCAGTCATTTTATGAAAAAGAGATTCAATTATCAATGTAACATTATCAATTTTTTGTGATGAAGAATTCAGGGACCATACCTTTAGTTATTGTTTCCAGCAAATACAGTAACAAATGGGGTTTGGTAGTTTCAGATTTATTGATACGTCCCTTTCAAATAATATTAAAAATGATTGATAACAATGAGCATACAGTAACATCATAAAATTTTTAAATAGTGAATTGAGGGATCGTCCACAAAATTACTGCTATATAAAAATATTAAGAACCTGCTTGTCGTTTTGAAACTATTGAAACTTTTTTAAAAAAAAGGAAGTCTTCAATTTGATTACAAAATTTAAATAAATATTACTTGGAAGGAACATGTAAAAATTATCTGATGTTGGTTTTTCTTTAAAAATTTCTATATGGTGATGTATAGTACTCGTTGTGATACAGTGGTTTTTGCGATACAGTGCTCAACAAATAACAATATACTGGAAACTGTTAAAACTTTCTGTTCAGATCAAGTAACTCTGACATGAAAAATTGTATTTTTTATTATTTATTAAATTTTCCTTTATTGTGCTTAAGTGGAGCAACATATATTTTTCATTTATTTTACCTGCATAGCAAAAATAGCAGACATGGCTACAAATAAGAAAGGAAGAGAAATAACGGGGAAAAGGAATATTATAAAAACCGTAACAGCAGTAACAGTCAATCAAATCAGAACGGAATATGTTTTACAAATGCAATGCATGGCGTAAAGTCTTGAGGTAATTTACTAGAGCAGTGGTTCTTAAAAAGGTGTCCAGCGGAACATAAAGTTCCGTAAAATATCATAGTGATTGAGAGAATTAGGAATTTTTTGTTACCAGTTATAACTATGTTCATGTCCGATCAGTAATCAATAATTTATTTAGCACTAGCTGAAGACCAGTTCTTTGCCCGGGAGGAATTAAAAAAGAAAAGAATCAATAAATCAGTACTCAGAAACACAACGCAATCATGCTCAAAATTGAAAGGCATATACCGACACAATTAAAGAGCTTGATGAAAAAACCAGGTGAATGACATTTTTAGAGGAATTGGTGAACTAGAGAAAATAATATTAAAATGTTGCGTCAATATGGGTATGTTTAATGCAACAAAACTGTTTTTGTTTTCCCTTTTATCTTAACATACCTAATCCTTTATCTTAACATATATAATCCATATTAATTTTTAATATTCTTGAATGATTTTTATTTCAAATTTAGCAGTGGTAAATGAAAAAAAAGCAAACAATGATTAGTCCCACTCTTTAATAAATTGGCAATAAAATAATTCGGATATAACTTCTTTTTTTCATTCTGAACATGTCACTTACCTGGCTCTTCTACTAAGTTTTTCAATTCATATAGCTGAAACAATTTAAATTATTTTATTTAATAATATATGTTGTAATCTTAGGTGGCTTTGCGTTATTGAAGTAGGCAAATGCATTTAGCATCACTTGGCATTCTCACGACATGATAGATGAAATTTACCACTATTAAATGATATTCTCGGGTACATATCCCTTTCGAAGGGTCGTAAAACACTTAATTTCAAAGTATCATTATTAAAACTGCTTAGTATTGGTGCAGTTTTAATAATCACCAAATATATCAGTATAATATTTCGTACCTATATTAGCATATTCTTTTTAGCACATAGCTTATTTTATTTTAAATCAATTAATGTACACTATCAAAATTAATTGAGGATTAGTGTCAATAATAATATGCAGTTTTTTTATGGTTTCCCAAAACAAGAATGAGCATTTTTTCTCCTTATATTTGCCTTTTAGTTCAGAAGTTACTTTTTTATTACAATTAATACAGATTATCAACATTAATTAAGCATCATTGTCGTCAGTGATAGTAAGGCGATTTCTTACGGTTCTTCTATACAAATAAATACATTTACTCCATCACTTTTGCTTTCTAGTACGTAACTTATTTCTTTTATTTCAATATGCATATATTATCTTAATTAGTTAAGCATCATTGGCGTAATTAAGCCTCATTGGCCTCGTCTTTTTATGTTTCCTTTAAATGAATTAGTATCTCTTACCAATTAATTTCGTTTCTGAATACATAATAATTTTTTTTTCTATTCCATCACAGTTGGTCTTAAATACAAATTCTTTGGAAACACGTTTAAAAGAATTAAAATAAATAAAATAAAAGTGCGTGGTATTAGGTAAAGTATAAATTTGGTGAAGATGTTAAATGAATTTATCTGACATAGCGAATATAAAATAATTAAATATTTAAATGAGTGTAATAAACTATTTTTTGATCAAATAGAGCTATAAACTAATAATTATCACTAACTTTAAAATATGTGAAAAATTGAATCGTTAAATTTCAAACATTGGCTAACGTTTAACTAATCAGAAAATTCCATTTAGTTTTTAGCTCATCCTGCTCGAACGGTTTGTCGTAGAATGTTCTAATATCGACGTGGCCTTCCTCGTGCTTTGAACTATCCGTATGGCAATTTCATAACTTTCAGTAAGATGCTTTAGGAGTCTATTAGGGACATACACACACAGACATTCATTTTTATACATATATAGATATAGATAGATTTTGGTTATTTATATGAAATTATTTATGTATTGCCAATAAATATAAGTAGCAGCAAAATTTAAAAAGAAATTTTTTTAATAACTATGCACTTATTATATTTTAAACGCGCATAAATAAAAATTTCTCATCAAATCTGATGTATATATAATTCTCTTACGTGGCTCCCAAATTTTGGCTGTATTTCTTTTCCGCCGGTGGCAACGTTTGCTTTGTTTTGTTTACGTTACTATTTCTCTTACACGGGGACAAAAAAAAAGCCTCATTACAACTCCCCGAATGGCAACGCTAGAAAATCGACCAATTATTGCCTCTAAAAATGTCACATGCCAAATCTAGGAGAGGTGGCTCAACATATAGCGCTTTTAAAAACGGAGACTGAAATAACCAGAGAGCATCAGCTGCGGCAATCTCATACTATTAAGCAGAAGTGAGTAGTCTTTGTCGATAGATCTCTATTTTAGTATTTTATCGAAAGCGCTTTTTTTCACGAATTTATATATTACGCATTTATTTGACGATTTTTGATTTATATCACGAATTTATTTGTTTTATTATTGCTATTAGTTATTCATTGAAAAATGAGTCTCAGTTGTGCTGTTACGCCTTAAGATTTTATACTATAGCACATTTCTAATAGGTTTAACGAATTCGTGTCATTTATTTGAATTCAAATTTATTTCAATGACTTAGTATTTACTAAAAAGATGTAATTCTTTTTTTTAAAATTTTTTTTTTATATGGATTTGAATGATTGTTTTGAATTCTTAGAATTTTGTGCATTTGCAATGTACCTAAGTTAGTAGCGAGTGAAGCGAGCTTGGTTTTCGAAGCAAACCATATAAGATTGCGTAGCAATTTTCGGGGGTTGGCGAGCGTTAGCGAGCAGGGGGAACAGCCCACTAGTTAAAAGAATTACGTTACTATTCTCAACAGTTCTTTTTTGGAAATCGTTATTCAGCTGATTTATATCATTTTATGCATATGTATGCACCAATAAAAATGAAATTTTTTTATGATGCTGGATTTTTGCCAAAAGTAGCATAATCATCTAAGGTTCTGTAGCCTGAAACAAATTGGAAATCGTTCTTCTCAGTAATGAAACAAGATTCTATGCATATGTATATAAATGAGCTTATGTGTAGAGAGATTTTTGTGTGCCCGAAATTAAATTTTTACTCAAGACACCAACAATATGAGCGAATTGATAATTTGTGAACCTTCTTGAACTTCAAAAATCTAAAATGGTTGTTTTTTTACACTTTTAATAATTAAAAGTGTCTAGAATAAAGTTTTTCAAGTCATAATTTTAGACTTATTTTGTTTACCTGTTTTTAATTCCTCACATATGCCGAAATCTTCAGATAACATTTTGAGTGCTGCGTAAAATCACAATTTTCTACTAATTCGTTTCAAATTTATTTGAACTATCAAAATCAATGATAGTACAGCTACAAAGAAGTGCTTTAGTATTTGAGATAGGAATTGATAATTGTATCAGTCAATGAGCAATATGGTCAATTAGGTGCAAGACGTGAACTACAATATCACAACGGCATATGCTACTTATATGTTGGGCAATGGCGATACGCAGAGCATTTTTCCGTGTATTGACATAAGGCAAAAGTACCAAATATCGCGTAATCATTGTCGCGTAAAGGTAAAAATCGTAATCGCGTAAATGTTGGGATAAATATCAAGGGGAGAGAATGCACATCATCTGGATTGAAATTACTTAGGCCCGGAAATGTCGCCATTAGGGGCTCTATAAACTCTTTTCTTTGCGCTTCTAAACAAGTCAAGTTATGGAATAAGTTGCTGTAGTCAATTTGAAACGTTTATTTGCATGTCTCTGTTTTTGTTTAGTAATCCTCCTGAATTTCATTTACTTGCACTCAACTTTAAGAAAGTACAATTTACCAACTACATGCTTTTAAAATTTCGCACTGTTATTTTTATAGATTATTAAAATATAGATGTTATTTTCATTCGGTATCACTTATTTACTTATTTATTCATCTATGTTTACTTATCTTTATAGAGAGCATTAAGAACTAAAGTTTTCATGAGGTTCCGTCCGCCTTCCAGATGGCGCTTCGTTCGAGACCTGCTGCTCTTAGTTGTTATATTCATCTGCCTCACTTGTTACCTCAGCTACATTGGATCATTCCTTCAAACCACTGTGCCCACAGGTTAGGATTTTTTTTATATCACTTTGATACTTAAAATGTTTAATTAAGTAATGTAAAAAGTACCTTTTTGCTTCTTTGTAAAACTGTTGGCAACAACGCTATTGAACATTCTTTATGACGTTAAAGTGGTTTTCGAACTTCCTTGTTTTTAAACCCAAGTTTACTCTTGTTTTCCCATCCCTGATTTACTTACTTGTCCACACCATTTAAAGTTTGTATGCTTTTAACCCGAACCGAATAGATTCTAAGATTCGTTTATGTTTCTAAGAATATTCTGCAAATATCATTGTTAAAAAATATTTTTGAGAAAAAAATATTCAGGAAGAAACGACGAAATTCCAGTTGCTAAAATTTATTTCCTATATGTGTTGAAAGGCTTCAGTTTTGTGCATAACCAAAAAATTTTGTTAAACGATACATTTTGAATTTGAATTTCGTTGAAGAAAGGAAAAATTTCAGCAACTGAGCTGTCAAATATATTCGTCTTTTCATCAATATTTTCGGTGTTGAATAATGCGAAAAACACATATTTCTCACGCCCTCAAAATTTAACTACGCAACTTTGAGTCGCAACCCGTAAAGCGTAAAAAAAAATAGTATATCACAATGCCAAAAAATGTATCAACAACTTTGCACCAAAGTTGTGTAGTGAAACACCATACATAACTCTTAGTTTTTGGCGTTACCAAAACCAGGGANCTCAAAATTTAACTACGCAACTTTGAGTCGCAACCCGTAAAGCGTAAAAAAAAAATAGTATATCACAATGCCAAAAATGTAGCAACCACTTTGCACCAAAGTTGTGTAGTGAAACACCATACATAACTCTTAGTTTTTGGCGTTACCAAAACCAGGGATAGTTCCTGGTGCAGTGAATTTCCAAAATTGTTTTTATACTACTTGGTGCAAAGTAGCTGTTAACATATTTGGTATCCAGTACTCTGTAATTTTTAATTATAGCAAGATATGATCCTCGTATGAGTCAGTAAAATTAGTTTTTTGAAACAATATAAAGTAAGAATCATTAATTTAGGATGCAATTGAACAATATTTCTATTCTAAAATTGTTTATTAAAATCTTCTTATGAGAACATAACAATTTTATCATATAAATAAAAACATGCATAGGTTCTATAATATTTTACTTCAGTTTTTGTGGAATGGGAAAAATCCTGTCCGGTGAAAGCTTCTTGTGCTCGATTGTAAGCAATCTACCATTGTTGTCTGACGATTTCCAAAGATGAGCTCAAATTGGCAAAAATAATTCATGAATGGAGTAAATGCACCTACACCAGGTGCCAAATAGTTGTGTTTATATTTAACAACACTCCTTAAGGCAAAGCGCGACATTTCCACTTGCCAGATCCCAGTCTATACGAATTCCGCCACCACCTCACACATTAGCAGAAGTCATGTATTAGTAACTAGCACCGGATGGCTCTAAAATGTGTGTGTGTGGCCTACAATTTAAAAAACCAATTAAAAATGGATGAAGATAGAAACTATTGGATATTTGCTTTCTGCTTCGGAGCACTAGGTCTTTCATTCTCGCCAACTTTCAAAATTATTTATAAAATTTGGCTACAAATGGTGTTTCTAATTGAGAAAATCCTTAAAACAATATGCTTTCAGAACTACCACACACACACTTAAAATTCTTAAAAGTATTGAAGTGCTTAAAGTATATAATGTATTATAAGTAAAGTTATATAGAATTGAAAATAACATTAACAAAAGTAAAAGTCCTCTTTGTTTCTCATTTCTGTTGTTTTGTTGTTGTTGTTAATTTACCCATTGTGCACTGGAGCTGCACAATGGGCTATTGGCGACGGTCTGGGAAACACCCCGGAGGACATTTCTGTTGAAATGGGCTGAAATGAAATTAAACAGGGAACCATATTTTTTACAGTTTTGAGAGACAAAACAATTTACTTGACGAACTTTGTTCGAAAACTTTCTCCGAGTAAATAACTGGTTTCCTAAGAGAAACGCAGGAAATCATATATATTTTATATATGTCTCACGGTTTTTCTTTAATTGATTTTTCAAGTTGTCGCATTGGTCATTTTCGGGCAATAGACAATAAAATAAATGAAATCAGCACGTCACGACTTTTTCTTTAAATTTATTTATGCCCCTATTTAACAAGATTTGTTTTGTTTTTTTAACAAACAAATTGAAGACGCACAGACATAAATGGTATCGAGTCAGTTAAATATGCCCGATATAAAACACTATAAATACTTATTTCAGTTATAGTAAATTTCTGTAACTGTAAATATATTTAGAGAGACATCAAGAAAATATAATGTTACTCCTTTAATATGTTTTGAATCGCTATAGATAACTACATTAAGTTTGTAAACGTGAAGTTTCTATTAGTAAAAATAAAATTTCAAATTTGTTCAAGGAAAAAGTTATTAAAAATATTTTTTTTTAAAGTCATAGCTTTCTTTAAGAACAAATTAATTTTCCTTAGAGAGTAATCCTTTAGAGGCAGTCTAATATCAAACATTTGCAAAACTCTGGGTCCAAAACTCACTATAAAATAATTCTTTCGGTTTGATCGCTTTACCAATAGCTTAGCAGGTAGAGTAATGGGAAATGTGGCAGGTGCAGAATTTCCCATCATTCCCTACACCAGACAGAGTTCTCCATTTCGAGGAGGCTGTTTTCGTGTACCCCTATAGCTAGATTCTATAATCAAGGAATAATGCTGTACGTTGGTATAGCAGTTTTAAAACTTGTTTAATTTTTAAAAGAAGTTTTGCTTAAATGATTAATTTTCTCGTGGCATAAAGTTATATTTAAAATGTAATGTTTTTGATGTTGTACTTTAATTTAGCTAAGAAGTGCGATTTGAGGTACGGTATTAAAAAGCAAGATGAAGTTGTAGTTATTTACGATGCATGTTGTAGTTGACCTTAAAGATGCAAGTTGTAGTTGTAGTTATTTAAGATTATTATTATTATTATTGCAGTATCTTTACTTGAAAAATATAACGCTTCGAACAATAATGTAATCAAAATTAAGTGTTATAAAATATAGTTCTAATATCGTGGTGATTGTTTGAGAATTTTAGAGTGCGCGAGAAAAAGCGAACTTCTCTGTAACTTTTGATATTATGATTAGATTTTTGCGTACTAGGGCTCAGTTTAGTAGTTCGAAGGACCTAACCTTAAATATGCGGATTTGATTTCTGCATAGAATATTTCATCAGACAAAAAAACGTATTTCCTGCTGTTGTTGTTTTTTGTCAGACATACCGACAATATATGATGAAATATGAGATGTTTTGATCCTCAAAATATGAAGATGGTCTCAGTCTGGAAAATAAGTTTCCAATAGAATATTTTTATCAGGAGAGCGGTCATAAGTTTGGATTCCTTACAAATCACTTTTTTTCTCATATTTCGCCAAACCTCCAGAACTAATGAAGCGAATTCGTAACTTTTGCACATGATTGCAAAGCTTGTTTAACCAAATATAATTTAATATATTTTTGTAATTTAAGTATAAAAATTATTATTTTATAATTTATTATAAAATAATAATTTATTAATTATTTTATAATTTGTTATAAATAATAATTTATTAATTAACTAATATTTTATAATTATTATTTTTATAATTTAAGTATAAAAATATATTTTTTTATATTTATTTTGTAATTTTTATTATTTGACTTACTAATTATAAAAAAAAAATTATTTATAAGGTATACAAATGTTTACACCATATTCATCTATGTGAAATCCAAAACTTGAAGAGAATCGATAAAGCAGGTCTTGCGAAATAAAAACTTAAAACTACTACTTTGAAATGGTTAAATATGCAAAAAGTGAGATATGATTCCGCCTTTTTCAGTAGTGATTCATTAGATTTCAATAACGGGTTTGTTTCATTATCCTTCTACTAGGGGGCAAAGCCCCCTGTTCGCTACCGCTCACCAACCCCAATGATTGCTTAGCAATAATTGTTTTTTTTTGGCAGAAAACAGTTTTTCTACTAAAGTTAAAAATATTCACTTAACATACTAAAAGGAATTACTACTAAAGGAATACTAAAGGAGTACTAAAAGGAATTCTGTCTATTTAAGCTCTTGCGCCTCTACTTCCCACTTCCAAATATTACTATCTATTAGTATTATAAAGATTTAGATCTCTTGGTGAACAGAATTGATTTTTTTAACCATCATTTCTTTAAATAACATTTATATTCTTAATACATTATATTGTTCAAACAAATTTGATGAGTTCTCAACCATAATTTAAAATTTTCGCTAATAATAGCAGTACTGAAAAATAACTTTAAATTAGGGATACAAAAATATTTAAAGGAAAACAATACCTTTACGACTTTTGTTAATTTTATACTGATGACAACCTAAACAATATGGAAATGAATGGGGGAAAACTGGATCCTACCACGTGATTTTCTGGCCAATAAAAATGCACCGACAACAATGGAAAACTGCGACACCATCATTAGAATTTTATATATAGTAAGAAATATTAGTTTCCATATCTATTGCGCATATTTTTTTGCCTTTTTTTTTGACGAGGATTCTAAAAATATCTATTAATGACGATGATTAGTGAGCACCCTGTACACATGTATAATAAAATGACCATCTTATAAGTATTTTTATGTACTATTTTCTATTTGTAAGTATTCTCAATTAAAATATTCAAAAATATTCAAACATTTTCAATTTTCGATGAAACACGTTTCAGCTTCATTTTTCCAATTTTAGGTTAATTTCAAATAACTTCATCTTGATCAATAATATCGAGAAAATATTTTGTTGAACTTTCTTCATACTGTATCAAAACTTTCTACTAACTTCCAATACTTTGAATCTTAAACATCAACTATTTGTTACCAAGTCTAAGCAGCTTTAACTTTTCAGAGCAAGTTAGTCAATAGTTTATCGTAATATTGTAACGACTTCATCTATCTCATCCTTATTCGTTTCAAAAGGTTTGAAATGTTAGTTA